CTATTTACTCCTCCTTTTTCCGGACAAAACTGTACCTCTCAGACCAGAAATTTGGCACCGCTCATGGAGTGCATAAAAATCCAACTATTTATGTTGACACTGCGAGGGTTGCTCCCTTGTGAGACAATCACGAAGCCGTACAGGAGGCGCCAAATTAGTATCCGTTTTGCGGCCAAGTGAGCTATCCTGGTCTAGACCGAAATCTCCGGATGAGCGTGGGCGATTCTAGACGCTGGGTCACTTTTCTCTACAAACGAACTGGGGACCGGAAACACTGTCATCACTGGCGCTGTCTGTGAGAAGGAGCAGCACGGCAAGGGATGTTGAGAGAAGATAATCGGACCACGGAATGATAAATTATGCTTTTGGTAAGAGCAAAAACATTTTCTGACAAAATGGCGTCATTATTTGACTTAGTCTGCTTGGTAGAAATGACAGAGGTACGTGATACGGATACACACGCGCATACTCACACACATACAAACGTGCACCCAGGTTATTGGCCTAAATGGAAGAAAAAACGCTTTCCAATGCACCCGTATCTCGGTTTGGGAATACTGAAACATGTGGCTTTTTTGACGCTGTTCTTTTAATAAGATACCTTGAAATAATGATAGCGAACATTCATCTCAGGGGAAGGGCAGTTCTAAGATCAAAAATGTCCGTGCACATTGAAAATATTCACATAAAAATACAGAACTGTTTAGAAAAATGATCAGAAACCATTTTTCAAAAATAATTCGATTATTTTGGCTCGTCTCGATATGTTCTTCAGTCATGTGATGTCACTGGATCACTCCCTTCCCATTTAAACTGCTAACGAGCGAGGCACAATTGATCAAACCTAACAGGTTAGATTCACACATTCCCCAAAACGACTGGGATAAAATCCCGGCTACAACCGATTGATGTTTGAATGCTTCTAACCACTTGGGATTTGAGACTGATTCCCTTTGCGGTAGCATATGTCACGGTGCAAATCGGTCAAACGCTTTAAATGAATTCGCGTTTGCCGAAGACCAACCTCAAACGATAGTTCAGATCGATAAGATCGTTTAGAAACCTACCAATTAGTCTATTCGAATTACCAATATGTTTATACGAATCCTTCTGACTGTTTCGTTCATTCCTGACATCTTTCTCACCCAATTTACTGACCAAAAAACTAGATAATATACTTTCTGTCACCGATGACATCACTGATGTGTTCCAAGCTAACGAGTACAGGTGAAAAGAAGCATCTTTTGGCAAATTGATCATTTGAAAAATCATTTTGCATTTCTGAACATCTGTTTTATCGTTGTTTAGACTTGTTAGTAATGTATTTGGTTCTATTTGAATAGCACAATCAGGTCTGAAGTCGTAAATCTCTTGCTTGATAATCAAAACCTGATCAACAGTCCATAGCTAGAGGGTCGCTCTCGTATTGCCACATACACAATGAGTACCAATATCATGTATACTTGAATCCAGAACACACATTGTGTACCAGATGCAACCCAGTATTTCATTTTGTTTATCAAGGATACAAGGATCCGCTGTTTGCGAGTCAGGAATTGGTTACTACTGTTCAAACAATATGCATGAGACCACGACCGTTATCAGTCGTATAGACCATGCAGGTTCACCTTCTTGTTCCTCCCTCGAAATAGGTCCAACCACTGTCTAACTTAAATTTTATTACTAACCTTGTATGCATTGCGAATTTGGCGGCGATCAGTGGAGTTCGCCTCACTGTATTTCACTCTACGATGATGATGATGATAATTTGTCGTGCATTGATCGGAACAGATTAGAGTGATCAAACCAAGATGTATAAACCTACCAGTACCGCGGAGGGGATTCACTCGTTCTTTCTTTTAGAAGTCCAAATAGACCATCTGCTTGAGCCCTAACGTGATTTTCCTAAAGCGCCTTGATCTCTAGTTTTTCACAGTTGTGCGCAACGCACCATCATGTGCACAGTGAGTTTATTGAACCGGAAAATTTATACATTCTCTTTTCTCAAATACGAGGGAACTATATAGTATGGTAAGGCGCTCCTCACTCTTTTGAGTAGTACGAGACAAAGACGAACATTAAAAACGTCCCCAGTTCTTCATGACCTCTCAGCTTGACATTGTATTCTGTGTTAGATCCGTCCAGTACCTAAATAAACACTTGATTTACCTTTCGACGCTGTTCATAATGGAAGATCAAAATTACACGATTTGTCTCTTGCCTTCATATTAGACCGCTCGCCATAGATATATGTATCTTGGTTCGACGACGACACATTCGTTAGTTTGACCCCACAGTTGGGAATATAATCTACTAAAGCTACTTTATGGGCGATCTGTGTGTTACACTTGTGCGAACAACTTCAAACCGGATTGCATTCAGATTGTCACTTCGAAGTAATCCGGGTGGTAATCTCTGTGTGACAGATCCGGGTCGGTCATGGAGTGAATATTATGACTGCTTGGTTTTTATTCAGATACAGATATATGGCCAGTAAAATTGTACCACTTTTGTCAACAGTAAACCCTTGCCACACATGCATCCCTACAGTGAACACTCAAAGGAGCCTCCCCGATCGATTAGATAAAAAATTCACTGGTCACGGTATCAATGAATTCACTGATGTGGCTTTATTGTCCGGCGCTTTCAGTTAGTATGCCTGCATTCAGTCACATCCCACCAGCCGCGTTTTCCTCGGACCACTAGACGGGGGGAGGGGGGAGTGGATCAGAGGAAAGTTTAGGCGTCGGATGGATTTATGTTTATTGCATGGCGGGAAGCGATAATTGCCCCATTTGGAAATTCGAAGAATTCGTGTGAATACGAGTCTGAAACGCGTGTGTTGTATGCTTGTGTGTCTTGAAGGGTCTGAATAAGTCTCGAGTAAGACGGCATTTCGATATTTCTTCATGAAATCACCAGAAAGGATAAGTTCCAGTTCAGCCGCAGTGGGTACCGCGGGACGGAGTGGAGGTTGCACCGATCATCCGTTGGTCGAACCTCGGGATTGCACTTAAAATGGGATGGGGATCAGCCTGGACTGATAGCTGATAAGGGACTGCGACGGACAACGGGGAAACAGTGCGATTACAAAGCTGTTACAGTTGCTTTTGCTGTTGATGATGATGATGACAATGACGATTTTGAGAATGCTCAAGTCACAAAAACGTTGACATATGAATGATCCCAGTGAAGCGGGGGGTGAAACCCATTAAGGTTACACTGGTGAAAACGGAGTTACAGAATAAAGCGCTTCGGTCAAACACACACACAGAAACGATTTGAAAGTTCATTTCACAGAGAGTCCACGCGTTGTATGAGTAGATCAATAAAGGGACGGAGGACTGAATCAACATTTGGTGTGAATAAATAAACCCGAAAGATAAAACAGTCAATTATGTAAGGTCACAGGTATGCTATGTGCAACTTTTATTCGTTGTCTTTCTTTTCAATATAGAACCCTGTGAAACCCGAGTGGCATGCGAATCGAGATAAAGAGTAAGAGTCAAAGACAGTGGGCGAGGGGTTGCAATAAACACCGCGTATGACGAGGTGAATAAACCGGCTGAATGGAGCAGAATCCAACAGAGCAAAAAGAAAACCAATCAACAAAAACGACACTGAGTAAGTAGCATACGTTTGGTTGTCCGTCGGTGCAAGTACACCACCAGACAGAGAAAATAGTGCTGTCCATTCAGATTCAAAATCCCGTGATGCGGTAGGCATATTTGCACAGAGAATGAATGATAAATGCATAACCAAAGGTTCATTCGATCTGAGATCCTAGTTTTAGTTTGTACATGTGCTTGTGTGTGTGTGTGTGTGTGTGTGAACAAGCGCGTGCGTGATCTTT